ACTGGTCCCAGAGAGCGTCTTCCTGCCTTCTATTCAATTACCTGGGCCTCGCGTATTTTCGACTATTCAGAATAGTTTTTCATTTATCTTCCTCTAACCACAATACTATCAACAACAACCGGATCACAATGGGATCACCCACATCTGACTTTCTTGCCGAAGTGAATGCAGAATTACAAGCTACGGCTCTTCCTTGAAATAACACTAAGTTGTTGCGAAGATATATAGACAACACATTTGTTTTTCTTAAAAGGGACTAACTGGAAACGCTCCACAGCAGCAACATTTGACGGTAAACTTCCATTACTGCATGTTCTCGTACAGAGGAACAATGACAGAACATTAAACAAATTAAAAAACCTACGCAGAAGTGATTCTACTCTATGAGAGCAGCATTCCTCACAAGCAGAGTACCATCAACAGTCTGCTTTATAGAGCAAAAAAATTGATCTAACGAAGCAAGGTATCAGGTCGAGTCATGCCTTAGCATGCAGCAGTCTGTGTACTCTGTTTTTGTTCAAGTATAGCAGGTGCGTAGTGTTGTGGAGAACATTCTATTCGTAATTTAAAGCAATAAAGTAGTCAATCTGGGTTCCGGAAGGATAGGCTACCTGTCAGTCTAGCTGCTGACTACCAGGTGTGTTCACGGATGACGTATAGTGGAATGGCCTACATTGAAGGTTAACTGTGAAATAAAAAGACTATTGAGTCTGACGAATAAGCCGTCATGGACCAGCAGCGACAGCGCTGCCAGTGTTTGACGGACTGAGGTCTGGTACACCGAAAGTTTTATAAAAAAAAAACACAAAGCCCGGTGACGGCACTGTGCCATGGCATCCGTGAACCACAATTAAATAAGTTTGCTCGCCATTGCTGCCTTGGGGTTATGCTCTGTAGTTAAAGCCCTAGCGAAGACAACCTCCAAAAAGCAATCTGATTGGCTTTTTGGGATCCACCCGGACTCAAGATAGCCGAGAAAACTCAGGAAAATATATCTGACTACGGTATTACGATCGATGCTACGGCGTCCGCGATAACCGACACCCTCCGCAACCTTGGTCTAATGGTGTGGGCGAATAGTACGCGAGCTAGACTACTCAGTCGAAAACGGACGTTTGGTATTGCATGCTGGAATGTGCTAATATTCCTAGACTCCGGTACCCAAAGTCTGAGGGCGCGCAGCCTTTATTGGTACAAATTGGACGTCTATTACCGCCTTTATCTCTGAAGATGGACTCCAGTAGGAACTCGAAGACTCACAGAAATAAAAATATAATTCCGGTGATCGACGTGCTCTCTTCTTCCTTGTTTGATGTCTGCTTGAAGCCCGAGTTCCTGACTCAGGTGCTCGGAAAACAATGATTAGTCACAAGTCACCCTTTATCACAGCAGCCTACGCGACTCTTCTGGTAGACACAGTGTGACGATCACTATTTCGTGACAAGCGAACCGTGTACTACCTGTTTGGGAACCAGTCAATGCCCGGGTAACCTACGCGCAAATGACGCGTTACAGCACAAACATTTCTATCGTCTCCGTGTACGAACCAACTTACGCTGATAAACAGCGCGATAAAGAGGTGTTTTATCCACAGCTGCGTTTGAGTTAAAAGACTCCCTTACCGCGATCTGCTGATTATTTTCAGGGATTGTAATGGCCCGACTAGACCTGGTGACTCTACAAACAGCCATTTGCTTAGCCGCTTCTGGCTTCATTCTCAATTTACCAACGGAGAGAGAGTGCTGAACTTTGATTATCAGAATCGACTGTTTGCCATGAAGACGTACTTACGAGATCACAGCAATAACCTACTGACCTGGTATGCAAACGACGACGACTCGATGCTACTGACCGGGTTCTTCCAAAACTTACAAAGTGGCTATGGATCCGATGCTACATCTCCACCGCCACGAAGATTCGCGTGTGCCGTGCGTCTATCCAGTCCGTCTTGCTCTGTAGTTGTAAATGCTAGGCTATGCGCGTAGGAGGTAAACGAAAACTGAATGAAATGGACCAATCGTTGAATGAAGTACACCGACTTCGTCTCAAACGAGACAGTCGGCACTTGCAGCGACATCTCAAGGATATCTTAAGCTAAGGACGATAACCAAGAGGGTTAGGGCACGTCCATCGTTGTCCTGCTCACTAGCTCACAGTTACTACCCACGATTCGGCACCCTTGTCACTTGGGGGCGTCGAGGAGGGGTCAACTCAAGACCTGTCTCGACACAGTTCTTTAGGATATGGAAAGTGTCCTTGGACCTTATGTGTTCAGTCTTTGTCGTCAGCGAATGGGTTGAACTGTCCAGGGCTGCTGCCGCGGATCATCGCTCTTAGAAGTACAGTTCGTGGCATTAGTGAAGCAGACTGGATCAGGCATGACCATAACCATACCAAGTGCCATCTTGGTTAGTTAGGGTCAATTTAATTTATTCCTGGGTCTAATTAGTCTTCTTCAGAGCTAGAACTACCATCGCAAACCGTGTATATTTCCGGGCTTGGATTTTGCGGCTACTATCTTCTCGGGTGGAAGGACAAACTCCAAGCGAGTCGTAGGATAATGCAGATTAGAGCCATTTTTGCTGCTCGCCGACACAGGCATCTTAATGTTCAAAGGGCAAGAAAAGTTTCTGGGGACACTCAAATAAGATTATGAAGAAAGACGAATGTAATTATGTGCTTCGCACTTTTACAGTTTGGCAAAGATGAGAAAATACCCTTCACAGTGGAAACATATACTTTTAAAACACACTATCCCCTTAGTATTGCTTCGAACAACATATTCAGGAGTTGATCATGAACAGGATAATCGACGTGGATCTTAAATTTAGTTTTCCCATAGTATACATAATAGACATACAAACAATAGGCATATAATGAACTAAAAATTAATCAAGTCATAAACTGCACATTATGTAAGATTGCATCAAGTTAACAATGACAAGATAAGAGGCAACTTATAAAAAGTGCACTAGTGGACAATGAAAGCTAAAATTCACCATACCTTGAGTAGGCACAGGCCGTTGGAATGACTTTACGACCTTGAGCGGTTTTCGGTCGGAGAATTTCACAGTACTTTGGAATACGTGTATCATTAACAATTGTTTCAGCATCATCAATTATCCACGTACGTATTGTAGTGTCCTGCGACCAAGTAAGAAATTTTCGCCCGTCTATAGGATGCCAGGTACCTCCATTAAGGCTGTGTGTGTGGCCTTTCGCACTTGCCGGGTCAGTGATATACTGGTAACCACGGATGGTCTCACAAAGAAATTCGCCGTCACGCGTCATGATTTTTGCTATAGGCGAGGCAGAGACGACCAAAAGGCTTTCACCTAGGGAACAAGAACATATGACATCAGAAAAAGCATGCGTTTGGAAAGTTTTCGCGGAGCGAAAGCAAAGGTGTACTCTTTACAAACATTTTGTAGGTAAGAAA